TAACTTTAGTGAACAGTTTCTTTGCTTTTAGAAGTGGAAAAAACTATTTCATAAAAGGTAACACAATTTTTTTTACAGATCGGAAGACGAGGGTCAGTTCGGAAAAATTTTCACTATCCACCATCCACTCCCTAGGGGTCATCGGGTCTAATCTTTAGTGTGATTGGCTGAAATCGAGATGACATCACATCAACTTTCTGCCCGAGTGGGAAAAAGTGCTTGATCTTTTCATGACAACAGACAACAAATGGTGACGGCTGAGTCTATTCTCTACCTCATCAATGTTTCAGGCCCAAGTAATGAAGTCGAATGTCGCGCAGCCGCTATCATGCGTCTCTCACACACACATACGTGAACACACAGAGAGCTGTGTGACGATGAATTATGGCAAGACCCCTCCCTACTTGACTTCCACAGAGTTGGGCTCTCTGACAAACATAAATTATGTTAATAGAATGAAATAAAAAACACTTTATTCCAAAGGTTTCAGTACTTTGAAATGTCAGGATGATCTAGTACGCTACCTGCAGAGAACTCCGAAGCTTAAGTCAGAGCGCTAAAATATTAAAACAAGAAATTTGCGCACTCTCCCGAGGTGCTGGAAAGGTGGGTGAAAAATGGAGAACGCACGAGCGTGTCTCCCAGGTGGAGTTTTTCCATTCATTAATTGATCCAAGTGCCAAATATAGCTCCGCATAAGAGCGCGACGGAATATTGTAGATACGAAACTTATTTGACGGTGCTTTCATGGGAAGAATTGCCATTAGGCCTGTTTTTTGTCCTGTTGCCTCAATCAAGTGCTTAGTCAATGTTATCTAAATGCCAAATTATAATTATCGTTTAAATTAGGCGTTTGATTTAAAAGAAGTTGATTAACTCCCAAGGTTATTACACTAGGGGGGTTATCTGGCAGGAAGCTCTCAGGAAACAACATTTTCTTCTATTATTCTTGTCCAGATGAGAAACATGGAGGACGTTTGCATCCAAATTGGAGCAAGTCCCACTGCTACCTCGACATTCCCTGTGTATAATGCGAGGGGGGCCGGGATGCTAAGCAGCTAAATTAACCAGAGATAAGATATTAATTGAACAATTCCATTGTTGCTGTGGCAAACTGCCAATTGATTGGCCCTTCTAGCCGGATCCTTTCCTCTTTATGGGCGCTCCTCAGGCCGCCAAATGCTTTTTTGTTAATGCGAGAGTGAAAAGAGGAAAAAGAGAGAGGGAAAAAGGTGCAGGGGCTTGGTCGTGGTGTTCAATTACAGCAGGCGAGAGGATAAATCAATATCATTTAAATTGCTTTTGGTAATCACCTGCGATCCAATCACTAAGATCAGCATAGGACATCTGCTGACCCCAGCCAAGTCTAACAGTCCCCTAGCTCCAACATTCAAAATCTCCTACTGAAACACATGTGTAAAGGTCACGCTTTCCATTGCTCAGAGTAGATTGGGTCAGGGCGTTGCCTTAGTGACTGTTATTATGGGATTTGAGGTGTGAGTTGAATCATTTCTTCTATAAGGCCTGTTTCAAGCTGCATGTGTAAACAAAGCAGCAGAGTAACTGCAACAACAGAATTGAGTTTTTTTTTTTTTTTACTTGTAAATTCAGCATTTATAAATAAGATGGTTATCAAGAGTGAGCTATTGCACAGGGTTTTGAAAAAGAGTTGTCTCGAACTGAATTTATAAGATGGAATTTAAACTATGAATTGGAAAGACATAAAAAGGAAGTTACTTAATTGACCCTTTGCCTGGAGTTTGATTGACAGGCGATCTGACCAATCATAACGCAGAATCTGCCATTTTTGTCTGACAAACAAACAAGACAGGAGAGTAGATTAACGTCAGTGGACTTGAACTTGAAAAATGGTGTGTTTTGACATCTTTCCGCAGTTGAAACAAGATACCTTCTTATGTTCATTTATGTTTATTTCGTGCTATAACTAGAAAAGATTGATAAGAAGAAAGGATTGGTTCACATGCCACTTGAACTGAGGCGCTACAGCGATCTGTCACGACACATTAAATATTAAACATTAAACATGCCTCAAAACAGTATTTATTGTTTGAATTACTTAACAATTGACAAAATTTGAAAGCTGAGACGTTGTTTCATACCTAAAGTAACCTGCTCTCTCTTGTCTGTCGGTGCATTGTCAAGTTTTCTCTTTGTATTTTATACAAAATACATATTTCTCTATGTATTTTTCACTGCGTGAGAACATGATGTGTGGCGGAAGAGTGCCATGGCTTGTCTGACACAGCAACAGTAATAAAGGGGGGTTGGTCTTTGCAAAGGGTTAATTACAATTCTAAAAAAAAATCTGGAAAATGAAGTCTTTCAGTCTGACAAGTTAATTTATTAAATATGATCAAACAAATTATATTAAATACACTCCTCTATGGCACACAAAACTTTAAACTGTTTCAATATCTTCCCCCCAAAACTTTCAAATAATGCTTTCTTTAGCCAAAACGTTTTTAAAAACAAACTTTTTTTTTTTTTTTTTTTATTCCAGTTCTGCATCCTGTTTGCTACCTCAATTCAAATTCAGGAATTGTGTTGGAATTAAAAATGCATTCTCAATTCAATTATGAAAATAACCCTGCTATTGAGAACTACAAACATGATCATCATGAAATATAATTTATATGAGCAAAGATGCCATATTTGGTAAATAATTCCCAAAGTGTAGCTATAAATAGCTTAAATCATCCAGATTCAGGCAGATTTACTGAATAGAAAGTGCATGGGAGCATGCATCTTTTTTCAAACAATAGGTGAGCAATGAGCTCTTATATTGCTTCACAAGTCTAAATTGCACAAGATTACACCGGGAAAAAGGTTTCAAGTGCAATTTCAGGTTATTCTTTGTCCGACATGCAACAAAAATAGGCTCAGCACTGTTAACATAAGCACCGAAATGATGCTTATGCTTAAATGTTAGCTGAAGCACCACTTCCTCATGCCTTTTGGCCTATAGGCCATCTATTAGGTGTAACGCTGAGATAAATATGCTGAAATCATTGAGTCAACACAGGGCATTTGCTTCACTGAGCATTTTAGGTAGATTTATTTGGCCTTCAAGTGGCCGTTTCAATGTGAGTTTTACCCCACATGAGATAATATGACTTCCTGTGTATAAATGGCACTGACAAGTGCAAAAAAATGGCGAGTTTACTGCAATTCTCTGAGCTCAGTAATGGGCTTCAGTAGAGATGAAGGGCAGAGAAGAGAGCAACAATGCGAAAGGCATTAGTTAGTCCTTATTATGTTCGCATTCCACTGAAGTCTGTTCTGGAGCTGAGAAAGGAGTCAAACATATGGTCCTGACCTGCACTCGCAACTGTCTCAATGTGATTATGGCTGATCTCTGCACCCATAATTACTTCACATAAACTCACAAGTCGTTAGTCCGTATGAGAAAGCAAGAAAGCAAGCATGCCGTCATTGAAGAAATGTCAGGAGACATGCATTCACATCTCACCTCTGACCTATTTCGTCTGCATTTCTGCCGATGCACCTTCAAAAATGCTCTAAAAATGTCTAGTCCAGCAGATACAGTCGGTTCCGGATTGCAAGGCTCAAACTCAAATTGATTTATATTGCACCGTGTCGCCTATAAGTCGGATCCCGGCTAAGCGTTCATTAATTTTTCAGGACCCGTGGAGCCATTGTGTGATATAAATCTCTTCTAAACCTTGATACTGACCCACGCCATGACTTTGAAGTGCTGCCTAATTAAGCGGCCGTACTGTTAACGAGCCTTACAATAAGGCAGTGGGAGATCTGAGAAATATATGGTGTCTGTTGTAATATAGAAACAGCGTGGGAGGAATACACCATTACAGCATCTGTCTATCAATATATAGACCACTAGCACTTTTTTTCAACCACATGCCAGTCTCGACTCTGTTTACTGAACGTCCATCTAAAGAACAACTTCAAGGTTGACTCCAAGAGCCTTGAGTTTCCACCAAAAAAATCTTCTCGGATAGGCTGGACCCCTGCTTTTTGCCCAGCGGAGGGAAAGCCCCTTGTGGGCGGATCAGTCATTATTGATCACAGAGCAAGGTTTAGCTGTTCTTCATCTGGCCAGCCTGTAAAATGCTTGGCTTGACTGAAATATTGCACACCCTGGAGCTGGGCACAGACCCAAAACAAATGAGAAAAAGCCTTTACGGGGCATATGCATGGCCAGCCGTGGCGACCTTGGAGCTAAGTAGTAGTATTTACTGTGACATCAAGAGAGGGCTGGTTAAAGAGAAGGACAAAGCAGCTGAAGGATGCTCATACATTCAAGACACAGGGGGGTTTAACTAGTTTAAGAGACCTTTATATAAAAATTGTCTCATTTCAGACAGCTTGTCCAACTGAAAGTCTGACAATCAAAATTGATTCGGTCTTTTAATGCACATTGCTTAATGAGAACAAAACATCCGCGCATTGTTTTAAGGTAAATTTTAATGAAATTGTCTTACTATTCCTGTGATCTGACTCATACAACATTCACTTTTCATAATAGTCAAATCAACAACCAACAGATAAATTCCACCCTATATTTTTTCTTGTTCAATATGTCATTTCACTTAGAAACGTGTCACAAAATGAAAGTCAGCCACAACTTGCGTTTCAGAAGATCCCTGTTTTCTGACAGTGTAGAACTGAATTCCTGCAATAGTAAATAACACACTTTCTCAGTCTGAAATAGACTAATTCATATTTTCACTTACCTTCATTTTATTTCATGTAGTTCAGAATTTCTTGCTTTGCTTCACAGTTGAAGAGTTGATTCCAGAAGATTTATATTGGTCATAGCTGTGTGGAGGTCCTGTATTTTTCCAAACAAAGGGAACTTAGATATTACGACCTCAAAAACAGAACTTTTTTGAAATCTTATAAAGACTGAAACACTCGATAGTAAAAACACTGAAAGAAACACATTTCATTTGTATCTAAGGCTAATTATTACAGTGATTGTGCATAGTTGCATGAAATTAGTAATGAAGCTATTCATAACATATCAAGATAATGAGTGAAGCATGAATAAGATAGCATTTCTTGTTCTGTTAAGCAGGGCTATTTTTACCAAACATCAGCTAATGTTAGCAGTGTGGCTATATAAAACAGGTCAATTTATCTACTGAGGCAGAATACGATCAGATAGAGTGCACAGTAATGAGTTTTTTGTGCCTGCATGCTAAAGGTGCGTTAGAAACAAATAAAGAGGTGCTTCATGAGCATTAGACAAACATCGGACTTATCATTGGTACCACTTGGGCTTTCAAATAGCTCTCTCTAGTGGCCAAAACATGCACTGTTTTTTTGCACACTTGCAACTGTAAAAGCATCATTGCAACCACTTGTCAGAAACATTCTTATTTTTTATTTTCAAACTTTATTTAATCCATTTATAAACATTTTGTTATTGTTCATACTTTCTTTAAACCTGCTGACAATGAACATTAAAGTTCTAAGTTGGTACTTTGCAAATTAAACATTTTCCTTTTGTCTTCACTACTGTGAAACTGTTAAATGCACACAAACTTAAATAGGCCTTAATACCTGACACAATCCAAAGTTGCTGCTCAAAGTCTTATCGTGATTAATAAGTAACAAAAATCAAATGTCTGTTCACAGTGTACAATACGGGTCAAAGCTTTAGACTCATCCTGAAATGTGTCAGGAGTTTAAGATAACATTAATTAAATATTATCAGCAGTATTAGGCCATATGTTTAGTTTTAATTCACACTATAAAGTGCATTCATGGGACTGTGGTACTGAAAGCCAATAGAAAACACAAAAACAGCATTATAATTGGTTCCTCAACACATTTCTTTTACGCAACATTGTAGAAAAGCATGTAAACTCAAACTAAATGGTTTTAAATGAAGTGAATGCTATCCATTAGAGAAAAAGTGCTGTGGTGAGCACCCGGTAAGCCATAGAAAAAGTTGTGAACAGCCCCACACCAAAGGTCAGACCTCTGGTAGGCTGGGGCAGAGCCATCACATAGGCCACTGTGTGGACGAAACGTGACCCTACAAACACCCGGAAGTGCAACAGAGCCGTGTAGAGATCTGGCCCCGTGAGTGCATACAGAAAACCGATCACCACAAAGGGAACAATGTTTTCCAGGTCATTTAGATGGCACCTGTGATTCAAGAGCAAAGGCATCAGAAAAAGAGACAATATCAGTATCACCTTCATTGCTCACATAAAACCAAATATGTTTACCGTCGCACTCTTTCCACATCTGGATCAACCCTGACCAGCCTCTTCCTGTCTTCTGTGGTCTTCACCAAGGTGGTGTCCTCCAAGTTTGAAAAAACCTAAAAGAGGAGAAAATAAGTGCTTGACAGCCCATTGAAAAATACCGAAAAATATAGAATGCAGGTTGCATAAGCAGTAAATTGAGCACAATAAATAGCGTACCTGTTTTGTCAAGCGAAAATATGAGGTCACGAAGCTCATGAGCATCATTTTGAGGACGACTATGGTTGCATATGTGGAGAAGGCCAGGAAAACCTCGCTGTCAATCATGTGTACAACTTCTGCCATCTTTATTCAAACAGCAGTGAATACAAATGGGAAACAACAAATAGCAAACATAAATAATTACATCAAAAATATAAAGACAATTTCTTTCTTTAGTTTGATATAAAGAATAATACACAAAAGTCTTACGAAAGCAATATCACATACTGGTTAATATGATACGAAATATCTCATATCACCACTCCTATTGCCCAACCAAACTAATTTGGCCAATGTATCCCAGTTTGAACTAGTTAAAAAACCATGTTCCAAAACAGCTACCAGTTTAAACTGGATTTTCCAGCACCTTGTCAGTATCACAGCCAAGCTCCAAATTAAAAACGATATGGTATTTATAGAACTTTCTTTACCGAAAATGGACAAAAAATCCACAAAGACCACATCCACAAAAATCCACATCCATAAGCAAATATTTCTTTAAAACAGGCGTATAGCAGTTTGTCCTTTTAAAGCTGGATTTAGTATAGCTGAGGTAGCCTACATGAACAGAGCAAAATATCTCATTTAATACTGATTATGTCGCACAATTTAAAGGATTTTAAATTACGGATGTTTAATATTGTTACATCATTTATAGTTTGTGAATACATTTGTCGATTTGTTTGTTTAAGAGTAGCTATAAAGGAAACAATAGAGCGAACTAGGACGCCCAAGGCGGTCTCTTTGGAATGTCAAAAATGTATGAGAAGGCGCTTCATATAGCCTTAATATTAACAAGGAACAAACAAAGGTACAAGAGCAGGAAGTTAAAGAGACGTCTAAGCTGCAATATTAGCGTTTTGATGCGTTTCTCACCTTTTTGACGCCACTCGGTTTCACAGCGTTTCACTCCTGAACTAACGTGAGGTGATGGTCGTGTCAGAATAACACCAGTTGAGCGAACTGCTATTCTAATGCAACGGGATTTTTGCGCAATATTCACACGGAGGTCTAGAGTTCCTCGGGGACGTCGCTGTAGTTGAAACAGTAGCGCATATAGCAACGCCAAGGTTCAGGAAATAAATTATTAAATATAGCCTATCAAAAGTGAATGCAATCGCCAATCTCTCTCAGGTTGAGTTTGTTAACTCCTTAAGCACAAATCTTAAAGCTATTTCTAAAAATATGGCACAGGAAAAAAAATAAAATACAGTTGATTTAACACACATTGCTCTTTTGTGACATGCACCAGTATTGTCACACTGCATGTGTAAGTTGTGCATTATGTTAGTCTATTTAATAAACACTAAAACCAATATAAAAAAGCCAGCCAATTGCTCCTTTCTACTGCTTTCTTTTCTTGTAGTAATGTAAAGTTAGCAGGTTAATACTTTGGAGTCTTGTGGATCAATGAGTAATCCTAGGAAGGTCTTCCAGCCAAATCAAACATAACTGCTGATTCCTTCTACAGTTCGTAACACTGCTGGCAAGTAGGCTACAAGCTTGCATTTTATGGTGATTTCCTAAGCCTGTTTGTCACCTTATGTAACAAGGAAGGGGGGGCGGGGGGGTTTATTCAAGATAAACCCACAGTTTATCTTGAATATCATCTCTGCTTTTTACCCAGGCAGTTAAAGTGTGCTTCTGTGAATAGTTACTGTAACACTATAAGAACGTTTTATTCCCCATGTAATCACAACAAACTTTTATGACCACTTTTATACAGATTAACTGTACAGATTAGCCTGTTTCGGACACAGGATTTAAAAAATAAAATAAAATAATAAAAAATGTATACTTTCATCTCATAGTTCTGACATTTTTCTCACAATTATGAGTTTATATCTTACAATTCAGACTTTTTCCCTGCAATTATGAGAAACTGAAAAAAAATTAAGAAAATAAAAACTGTGAGATAAAAACTCACAAATACCCGTTATTTTATTAATTAATGGCTGAAACAAACAAAAAAGTGAGATAGAAACTCAGAATTCAGAGAAAAATAAATAACTGTGAACTATAAAGAAGTCTGAGAAAAACTCAGAATTTTAAGTTTGTCTCAATTCTGAGTTTGTATTTAGCAGTTCGTGAGAAAATTAAAAAGTTTCAATGACTTTTTAAATATTTTTTTTTTATTCCATGGCTTCCACTTTACTGAGATGGATCTTAAGAAAATATAAATAAAACAAGGTCTGAGGGAAGTTTAATTTCAATTTAAAATTAAATTGAAATGTTTTTAAAGGGGTCATATGATGCGATTTCAAATGTTCCTTTCTCTTTGGAGTGTTACAAGCTCTTGGTGCATAAAGAAGATCTGTAAAGTTGCAAAGACTAAAGTCTCAAATCCAAAGAGATAGTCTTTATAAAAGGTAAGAGTCAACCACGCCTAACTAAAACAGCTCGTTCTAACACGCCCCCACATGTCTACGTCACTATGTGGGAAGATTTGCATAACTCCGCCCAAATGTTCACGCAAAGAAAGAAGGCGTAACTTTTATTCTCGCTGTAGTATTGTTGCTGCCGCCATGTCGAGACGCTGTGTGTTTCATTGTGAAAGCGAAACTACTTTGTTTGGCCTTCCAAAAGAGGACACGACTAGAAATCAGTGGTTAAGTTGTATTTACAGCACTGTTCCAGAACAGTTCAACCCAAATATTCAGATGTGTCCAGCGCATTTTATGGAAGACTGTTTCCTGGCAGAGTAGACTACAATGCCGGCTGTTCTGACTCACAGAATGTAAGTAAGTTTTCATATTTAAAGAATTTGCCACTGATGATTCAAACACGAGTTTTGAGCAGTGTAGAGTAGCGCTTGTTGTTTGTCATTTCTCCGATCACAAATGCAGACATGGTTTTATGTTTACGCGGCACGATGTAACGCAACTCGTAAAAAGACAGTATAAGTCATTATAAATCGTAATTATGTCCCCACTGGATGCAACAAATGCCTCGTTTATAATGAGTTTGAATGTTTTTGTCTCGTCGCTCTGGCCGGGACACGGCATCACAATACGGTAAGGGGCGTAACATTTCCGTCACACGCTTGAGGTATTCAGCCAATCACAATGCACTGGATAGCTGGCCAATCAGCGTACACCTCACTTTTCAGACCGATGAGCTTTGTAAAAATCGACGCATTTCAGAAAGGCGGGGCATAGAGTGTACGGTATGTACGGTATGTGGAAAATAATGTGTTTTTTTAACCTTAAACCGCATAAACACATTTCATTACACCAAATACACAAAATAATGTTCTTTTTAGCAAAATCATATGACTCCTTTAAACAGTGTTTTCAAGCGTTGAAGTTATAATTTGTATCATACATTTAAACTTAAAGTGCCCCTATTATGGGTTATGGAAGGTTCATATTTTGGTTTTGGGAGACCCCAACAACAGGTTGACATGCATGCAATGTCAAAAAACACTTTCATTTTCTTTAAGCATTTATTTTTACCTTATTTGCTCAAATCCCTCCTTTGGTGACGCTAATCTGCTGTGATTGGTCCGGTTTGGTTGATTTCATTTTCATTTCATCATGCCTGTAATGCCTGATAAAGCAGCTGTGAGCAGTGCTGCTTCCTGTACAGCGTTACCGGGGAAACAGCTATTTTACCGCTCCAAAAGCGGCACCTAGTGGCAAAGAATGAATTTGCATTTTCATTCAGACCAAAGCGAAAATCAAGTTTTCCCAGGTCTGCGTGCGCAACAAGTGGGTGGGCAATATGCTAATGTTTCATGTTGACGTCAAAATGAAACGGCTTGGGATTCAAACGACTAGTTTAAATGACTGGAGTCGACTCTTTATTTTGAGAGACAATAACTTTATACACTTTCAGATTTAAAACTTTGCAGGATGTTTTCATTCACGTAGCTGTGTTACACACTGCATGAAAATCCATAATAGGGGCACTTTAAGGATTGTCATAACTCAGCAAATGATTTACCCACCCACAAGTATATCACAAAACACTTCTAGAAATTAAAATGCTGGTATAACGCTAGCAACAGCAAGGTTATAGGTTCCAACCCGGTCTCATGAGAAGCTATTGGAAATTTTGAGAAAAATAAATAAAAAATAAAAGTCATATGTCTGAAGTCACGATTTTTGACAATACAAACTATTACCAGTTTAGAGTGGTTTTTGAAGTTGCTTTGGATAAAAAGCCTGCCAGTTGAACAAATATACATTTTGTGTTCTTCAACTTCTATATAAATATGCCTCTTTTTTTTTTTTACCTCAGATGTTTTCAGTGTTATGTTGAACGCCGCATGGCGCATTGCCACTTAACTAATGGTATCTTGTAGCTATGTGTTTAAGATATCTGCTTCGTTAGGCCTTATTCTGTTGACTGCACACATAAGGCATCATGCCATGTAATTGTAGGCACTAAAGAGATCCAGTCATTCTCTGCTCCTGTCATCTTCCTCCGCAGAGTATCTTCGAAGCGAGAAGTTAGTCCTGTCTCAAGCTGAGTGAAGAGCAAGACGTCTTCTCCCTCCTTACAATTACACCACTGTCACGCTAAACAGCTGCATGTCATGTTGCCATTGTGCTCGTGTTTTTGTAAGGCATTGCAGGTGCGAGCAACATCCTTATCGCTGCTGGAACATATTCTGGTCTTTACATATGCATGAGCTGCACGAGAAAGTGCGGCGCGGAGAACTAGTTGATAAAGAATGTGGAATGATGAGATATTCGCCTACTGACACGCTGCCGTTTGCTGGCTTCTTCTAGTAATATGTTTTACCTCGTGTTTACCATTCCAGAGAGAACTGTGGGGCTGTGCAACTTTGCCAGAGGAGCACATGAGATGTCAATCAACGTGGGACAAGGGATTTAAAGATGTCGTGCCGCAGTCAGAGATTTAACAGTGTGGTCTGTGTCAGGTGTCAACAACCTCACCATCAGAATAGTAATGCTGCAAGACACATATCAAGTGTTTGATTTGCACCTCACCCGAAGAACGCTAACTGCTTTTCCTTTAGACTTAGAAGTAGTTTCACATTTAATTAAACAAACAGACAAACAAAAAATTGACTTTGAACACTAAGGCTGCCTAGTGAAAAAAAAGACTTGGCTCTTCAACACTTGCATTTATGAATTTCAATTATATGAAGTATTTCTATCAAGTTGAACTAGGTAATCTTTAAGTGGTGTACATATTATGAATTCAGAATAAATACAGAGTATTTAATTAAAAACAACAATGTATGAATGTTTAAAACTTTGTGTGGTAAATGGCAAAGCAGCTTTCATTTGCTTTGGCATTAATTGAACACATTTTATACACTGCAAAGTTAAGCATAGCGCACAACTGTTCAGAGGTTTAGGTCAGCAAGATCTTTCTAAAGAAATGACTTTTATTCAGCAAAGAAGCATTAAATTAATCAAATTTGACCGTAAATAACATTTATAACATTATAGCCTATTCATAAAAACAAAAAGAAAACTCCTGGAAAAACGAATACATGATGGTTTCCACAAAAATATTAAACAGCCGTTTTCAAAACTGATAATAAAAATAAATGTTTCTTGAGCATCAAACCAGCATATTAGAATGAAGGATCATGCGACACTAAAGATTGGAGCAATGGCTGCTGGAAAAATGAGCTCTGTTAAATTTTTAATATATTTCACAAAATTACTGTTTTACTGTATTTTTGTATCAAATAAATGCAGCCTTGGTGAGGATAAAAGATCTTTTTTGAAAAAAAAACAGACTTTGGTAGTGTAAAAATAATTTAAAATAAAAATAAATCAATTTTAAACCATTTGATTAAATGTTACAGTCTTATTTACTTATATATTTTACAGATATTTATTCTTATTTGAATAAATATCACATTTTCCAGGATTTATTGGTTGACTGATTTTCTTTTATTTCATTTTATTTATTTACCTTATAAATATCTATTTTAAACCATTTGATTAAATGTTACATTTTCAATTATTTATTTTTTTCTTTGCAAGGGCAACAAAGCATATTATTATATCCTTATATACAAATTTCAGGGTGACAAGATCATTTTTAATGTTGAAGTACTTTTGCACATCTGAGTTAGGGTTAAGGTTAGGCTTTAACGCAGATACAACTCAAAACATCACA